TGGAAGGCAATTTTCTTTGTTGGTTACTAGGGATGGCAGGGGAGGAGAGGGAACACTGTTAAGTAGAGACAAGTACTGATTTGGGTGAAGAGAAGGGCCATGTACCAAATGTGAGTGATCAACATGGTGGCACTGAGGAAAAGAAAGATATAGAGAGGTGTGTGGGAGGTGCAGACAACAAAGATGAACCCTTTTGCACATACAGTACTGCGCTGTCAGTGAAGGCAAACATATATGGGTGGATAGATGGGTGGACAGGTTGAATGATGAGGTATGTCTATGCAGGGGGCAGTGTGCCCATGACCATGTATAGGGTTGGCAGACAATGTTTCTACAAGTGTACCTGTATGTTCTGTGAAAATTCCCTGGTATACAATACAGCTGACAAGGGACAAGGCTCTAGTTGCTTCTTGGCCACAGCCAGCTACCCACAGGGAACATGTAGTTGGACCTGTGGGCTCAGGACCATGGTTGCAGGGGACATCAAGCTCAATTAGCATAACATCCTACACAGAAACTTAGTCCCACTTCCTACTTTGGTGAGTAGTGACTGGGATCTTAAAAGCTTGCAAGCGGCCATCTAGATGCAACAATGGCTCTCTCCTAGTCCAGAGCAAAGAAGAATGAAGAAAACAAATGATGCATGGAAACAATTAGTCCAAGGAACTGGAACCCCATGTGATCCTCAGCCTATATGACTATGAGACCAGAAGAACTAGATGGAACCTGGCTACCACTGTCAACCACTCAGAGGGGGATCTATGTAGGAGATCCTAGATAGAGAGGGAGAACAATGTGGGAGAAAACTCAAAATCATAAAAAAAGAAAAGAGACCGTGTTTGCTGGTGTTATAGAGCATGGTGGAACCTCTGAGACTATGGCCGCTAGCTGCCCTTCAGGTCCGGAATTGAACCCACTCCTGTAACTTCCAGCCAAACAAAAGATAGGCATATGAGCTGAACATGTACCTCAGGTAGATACACTCCTTGTAGAGATCAATCATGGGAGAATAGAAGGGCTACGTATGCACAGGGAGACAGCTTGGAGGGCAGGAGTGCAGGGGAGGGAAGGACACAGAGAAGTGGTAACTATGGGGAGGAAGTAGGAGGAACGCTGTTGCATTGTGGGAGATTGCAGTCAATATCATGAGACAAAGTGTATGTGAACTGCTGTATGGAAAATGAATTTGTTCTGTAAACTTTCAACCAAATCACAATAAAAATTTTAAAAAATGTATTATGACAGGCTATTATGTGAGTAGAGCAGGAAACAAATGAAGCCAGACTGTCCCTTGCTTCCTGAGTTGGATTCCTTGTTTCCTGAGTTACTCCTGAAGCTGGATGGTGAGTCCAAGGAGGGCTCATTTGACTATTCTGTCTACTTTTGCACACGTTTCAACTCTTCGTAGAAAGATTTTGAGACGTTAAGAATTCCTTGGGGGTTTAACCTTGTTAGTCATTCACACTTTAGTGGGACTTACACCCATCCCTCTATGAAAGAGAACTTACCAGTTTCCACATAAAAATACGTAGAAGCTCTGTTTTTATTGGTGAGTAAACCATTTCCCATCATACGAGGTGAAAGCCTCTTCTCAATCAGCACCGTGTCATGTGATTACAAAGGTCTCACATCATGCTTTTCATTTTGAGCATCAACTTAGAGTACTCGCTATCCTGAGTCCTTACACAGAATCCAGTATTTTATTTAAAATACTATTTTATATAAAAATGACTCGGATCCATCAGGACCGCTGGAACCCTTTGGTACCAATTTGTGAGACAAGTGCTGAAAGCCTAACTGCTCCCAAGGCCCCGGTGGCTTCCGGAACTTTTACGTTTTACTAAAATGGTGGGCCCATTCAGAGTTATCTACAATATGTGATTATGAATGTATTTTTATCAGCCTGATGCTTGAGAATACTTTTCCATTAATAGTAACTCTGCCATTATAATGAGAATAAATGTTGCTAATATACCATTCATTTCACTCATGAGCAAAATTCAGGGATTAACCACACTGTGATAGTAAATGATAAGTATCCTGTAATTTGAAAAATCAATCAACAGCTAGCTGAGCTCTGCCATAAGGAGGGAGGTAAAGATTTTGTTTACAGAGGACAGGCTGGAGATATTGATGTACAAGGCACGTTGGGGACACAAACAGCCAGGATATGGTGCTGTAAACAAGACTCTGGAGAGCTGGAAGGCAGGATCGAGGTGGTACATCCTGTAACAGCAAGTGGAAGGGACAGCAAAGGGCAACAGTACCTAGTCCTCACGCCATAGGAACAGGGTCATACGAGTTAGGGCTCTGTGGTCGTAAGCAACAGAGAGAGATTTTAAACTAAGCTAAAAAGGAATTTACTAGCAACACCCAGGAGCACAGAGTGGAGTTATGGCACCACCAGCCAAGGAGCACCTAGGCTAAGAAGCCAGGAAAGAAGGCCCCAAGACAGAAGTGGGATGAGAACGGTTGTGGCAAATTTCAAAGCAGGATAATAGGATCCCGCCACTGGAAAAAAGGGCCTCCTGAGAAACTCCTGCAGCGCTTACTTAGCTCCAGGTCAGTAGTTAAAGCCCCAGTTACCCAGCTCCGGCCACGAGCTTGCCCCTGGGAATTACTGTGCAGGGAACCAGGCTCTTTCTAGAATCTGCACCAAATCTGCCAAAGGCCTTGCCCTGACTTCTTCATCAGAAACAGAACCTTCCCACCCACATGGCCATTTCCACAGCTCATTAGTTTTTTATTCACTCAATCGGAGACATGCCTGTATTAGGAAAACTTAAAAACACATTCAAGGGTTATTTAGTGCCACTGTCTGCCAATAAATGGCTACTGAGTGTACAGAGAAGAAAAGGACACAGCCCTTGCCTTCCAGGGACTGAGTCCACGAGCAGAGACAAACATTCAGGTTGTCAAAGTTCTGAGGGAGAGAGGCCCTGCCTCCCTCTCCCTGTGCCATGCAGGGAATGGACAGGGGTGCCTAGCCCCCCAGCACCACTGCAGGCCAGCTCTGTCTCCCGAATGGGACTTTGAGGATGGGGACTAGAGACCCTGCAGAGATGGGCATCCCCTCCAGTCCCCAGAACCTTCCATCTGGTTTTTAACCTTCCCACCCGTCTGCCGAGACCTCCGCGTGCCGTGCCCTGGAGCTCCTGTACAGTAGAACTCAGGTTGCTTCCAAAGTCCCCTCCCTGCTGCAGACTTTACTTAGGAATCAGGTAAAGCAGACCATATGGACGGCAGCCTGACCAGCAACAAGGCTAGGGGTTCTTTACAAGTCTCTGCCTCTCAAACCAGCCCCCCAGGGCAGGCATATCTTCACTGTGAAAATAATACTTACTCATCGTAAAAGACTTGAGAAGCACTCCAAGTATACATATACGTGTGTGTGTGTACACATATACACCTGTAATTCTAACACCGAGTGACCACCACAGCATATACCCAAAACCCCCCACCGTCAAGTCGATTCCAACTCCAAGCTACCCCAGAGGACAGAGGAGAACTGCCCTGTAGGGTTTCCAAGGCTGTCATTTTAACAGAAGCAAACTGCCTCGTCGATCTACAGAGCAGCTGGTGGGTTTAAAACGCCAACCTTTCAGGTTGTAGCCAAGCACTTTAACAACTGAGCTATCAGCGGTTCAACCCTACCAGCTACTCCACAGGAGGAAGATGAGGCAACCTACTTCCGTAAAGATTTACAGCCTTGGAGACCCAAAGAGGGTCACTATGAGTTGGAGTTGACTTGATGGCAGAGGGTTTTTTTTTTTTTAAATATGTTTTACTTGATTGAAAACAGCCTCTCAGCTTGACTTCTCAGTGTGGGGATGATGGTTCCTGACGCAAACTGTCATGTCAAAGGAGTACCTTTAGCACTCCCTATTTATATACTTTATCAGAGAGTGAGGGTGAATATTATAAAACATGGGTTTAGTCCCTAACAAGATAAATCTTTTATTTCTCGACTTTGACCTATTAACGAGATAACATCCATGGATGAATTTCCTACCATTAAGCCACATGAAAATCCTCAAATGACAGCTTACTCTGTATGTACATGGTTCTAATATGCAACTGAATATGACTGAGTGATATCTTTCTAAAATTTCTATGCATCTATGAACAAACATGATGCGTCTAGAGTTTTATTTTATTTTTGTCAGCCATTCTGTATCAGGGTAATTGCACACTTTGGTTGCCCCAGGTGACACAAACAGTTAAGATGTCAGCTACTAACCAAATGGTCAGTGGTCTGGACCTACCCAGAGAAGCCTCGGAATAAAGGCCTGGTGACCACCTGCTGAAAAGTTGGCCAGGAAACCTCGGGAGCCCAGCTCCACCCCAAAACACAAGTCAGAGCTGGCCTCTGTACACTTTAAAAAACATGAATCAAGACAGAGATATAGCTAAAAATGCTTTAAAAGCAGCATAAAAAGCAAGAGGTGTGTGACACAAGCCTTGAAGGGTCCCTGGGAAATCTCCATGAAACCACCAGGTCTTGCTCCCCTGAAGGGAAGCTGTTGTTTAATGACTTCCTTAACTTTCATCCATTGTTTCCATCCATTTAGACCATCTGCTTTATCTTCTACTAATTTTAATAATGAATGCTATCCTAGAAAACAGTCCATCTCTTCTATAGTTTCCAATTTATCAGCACGAAGTTGCACAGAATATTCTTATTTTTAATCATCTTCAAAGCTGAAGAAACACTCTTTCATTTGTTTTATTTTTAACATTACCTATTTAAGCTTCCTCTCTTATTCCCTTGCTCTTAAGTACCAGAATTAAACCATATTTTTAAAAAGCAGCTCTTCCTTTTCTTGATCAAGGACGGTGGTATTCGGGTGTTCTGTCTGGTTCTGCTCGGGGGCGAAGGCGGGGGCTGACTGGCTCTTTTGCTAGCACCTCTGCTTTCACAGGCGGGGACCGCTCCTGCCAGGTGTCGAAGGCCAGAGCAGTAGCACGGGGACCGCAGGTCGCAGACAAAGCCACCTTACCTCAATGAGCTTTCTCTCATAGGAGCTCGCCAGCTCTTCTGCAATTTCTCCCGACTTCTGCTCTGTGACCGTAACGTCTCCGTCAACGTTCCAAAGATTTGGCACAACTTTAGGAAAAGAAAGACATGCCATAAACATTTTAACAATAATCAGAAATTATTCTTTCAATTAAAAAAAAATCTTTTTCCAAATGGCTTCTCCAGAAGGAAAGACCTTTATTAAACACACACACACACACACACACAATTACTAACTGTAATTACATCAGCACCACAACATCTCCCCCGAGTGCAAGCACGTGGACCGTGAGCTGTACCAACAATGCAAGTACTGCCAGGGAGACATAGGCATGGAGTGTGCAGAATTATCTTGTCACCATTTTGCATCTGGAGGGAAAACAGGCTTTGGCAAGAGCACAGCTGTATCCATTAACAGTGGCCAGACTTCTTTTTCTCCAGCAGGAATGCCCACCAGAGCCTGGTGCAGAATGGCAGGGAGGGTCAGACTGCATGCAGAACCAGTAAGAACGGGCATTTGTAAACAATATTCAGGGTGACAGCAAGGTGGCCTCCAGAAAAACTCTAAAACCATAGGGCAAGGACATCTTAGAGGCTGGCTACCAGATCTCAACAAGAATTAGCACATCAGGTACCTATGGATATTGTTTCTACCACGTCACATATGCCATCTTTGTACGCAAGAGCAAAGAATGGAAAACTGGGGCTGTGCCAGATAATTCCACATAAAGGAGGCACTGTTCAAGAACAGGAAAGATATACACCAGTGGCTACGGAAAAAGATGGCTGCATTAGCCCCCAGTCTCAAAACAAGCATCACCTGGCTGGCTGAGTGTCCTGTGTGCTCTGGGAGAGGAAACTTCTGGTTGCTCCCATTGCCATCAGATGACCATGAGGCAGAACAAGGAAAACAAGAATGGAGAGCTAGCGCTCCAGGGATAGGGATGTGAGAGACAAGGTGAGGCTGAGGGGAGAGAGGTTGCGGGAGAACGAAAATGGGCAGAGGCTGAGCAAAACGAGATTCAGCCCTCAGAACCAGTTGGTGGCTCAATCGCCTGCCCGGAGGTGTAAGCCCCCATCAGGCTCCAGCTGGCTAGTGCCCACAGAGGCAGCACAGCCTGAGTGACCACACAGAACACACAGCTTCCATCCCCCTGGTGACTTGATTGCAGCCACTTCTGTCAGGAGCAATCCAATAACAATCTGTAGCCTGAAACAAGTACTTAAGAAAAGAATTTAAAAGGACTTGCAGTTAAAGGTGACAGACTTAACGCATTGATTTACCTTCACATCCTCTCAAAATTGTTTCAAATCCCATCTTGAAAAATTCTTCCTAGAGGCATCACCCTTAGAGAGAAAAAGAACGGGAGAGGAAACAAACAAGATTCTAGAAGCTGAGAAGCAGGTAGTTAACTGGCAGCTAACTCGACAGACCCGAGAAAACGTCATGCCTAGCTGGAAGTGGGCAATGCCAAAGCACAGCTGGTAAAAATGGAACAGCTTGCAAAAGGGTGAGACGGTGCTAGCACAGGAAATCTCTGGGACTGGGGGGTGAGCGTGGGGCTCAAAGGCCAAGGAAGCGATGAAAAGCCTACTTCGGACGCAATGAGAACAATGCTGTGACATACTCTCTAAACGCAAAATGCGCTGCTGTCGAGTCGGACCCGACTCAGAGCGACCCCTCCTTGGGTTTCCGAGGCAGTATCACTACGGAAGTAGATTGCCCAACCTTCCTTCCAAGGAGTGGCTGTGGGTTTGAACCACCAGCCTTCTGGTTAGCAGTCAAGTGCCTTAGGCGCTATGCCACCATAGCTCCTGTACATTCGCTAGGGAAGGTAAAACAGTGGTCTGCATTGAGTTAAAGGGAGGGGTATACCATTAAAAACAGGGAGATCAAAATACTATACCCTAATCTTCTGAGGTTCTTCCCTCACTGATGCCCAGAACAAAAAGCCTCCAATATGAATCTCCATGAAGGAGACTAGAAAAGCTTTCTCTAGAGAATATGACCAGCCCAGAAGAAAGGACCTAAAGAGACTTAACTGGGGGGCTCAATGGTGGAAAGGCACAGCTAGATCACCCACCAACTGTTCACAGAGCTTCTGATACGCTCCTAAGTGCTCCATGCCCATATCTGAGTAGACAGCCAGAGACCATCCTACCTTTGAGAAAAGGATCTAAGAGGAAAGATAAGGAGCAGAATAAACATAGAAAAGCTTGAAGGGAAGGGAGACTGTTCAGAAGAATGCTTCAAAAGCAAACTGTCTCCAACATCCTCAGAGAGAGGAAAATATGCTGTAGTCTTGAAACAAGAATAGGGAGATATTTAAAAAAAGGAAGAACAACATACAGAGAACAAACAAAAAGCTCCTTTGAAAAGCAAAACTAAAATAGTAGAAATGCAACATTGGATATAAGGGATAAAAAATACGGAAATTTCCAGAAAACAGAGCCACAGAAAAGAAAATCACAAGACCAAATGAGAAGTCTAGGAAGAAAAAAAGAAACTCAAAAAAGAGGAAATCAAAGGTTCATTCTAGAATGCACAGACCCAACCCAAGTGTGAAAAGTAAGAGTTCACTGAGTAGCCAGCACAATGGATGAAACAAAATCCACACTGAGTGCCACAGTGAAATTTTAGGACACGAGGACAGAGAAGAGGCTAAAATTTTGGGGTAGATGCAGAATTTATGCAAAGCATCTAAAATTAGAATGGCAGAGGACTTCTAAACAGCAACACTGGAAGCTATACAACAATGGATCAGTAACTTCAACATTCTCAGGGACGGCAGTTTCCAATCTAGAATTCTACACCACGTCAAACCACGTAAAGGCAAATGAAGACTTTCTTTTCAGAATTGCACCTTCTCAAAATATTTACATTCCACCAAAAGAAGGGCAGAAACTTGAGGAGAAGATGAAAAAGGCAATCAAACAAAAAAAGTAAGCTAGAAACTATTCATAATAACAAAAAAGTGGAGGCGACCCAAACATCTGTCAAAGGAGAAAGAGATAAATGAAATGTGATCTCTCCATACAGCTGAGTATTACTCAACCATGAAAAAGAATGAAGCCCTGGTACTTGCTATAACCAAAAAATGAAACTCGCTGCCGTCGAGTTGATTCAACTCATAGCGACCCCTCCTTGGGTTTCTGAGGTAGTATCACTACGGAAGTAGATTGCCCAATCTTCCTTCCAAGGAGTGACTGGTGGGTTTGAACCACCACCCTTCGGGTTAGCAGTCAAATGCCTTAAGAACTATGCTACCAGAGCTCCTTGGTACTTGCTACAGCATGGACTAACCTTGAGAACATATATTATATGAGAGAAGCCAGACACTAAAGGCCACATATTACAAGATCTGATTTATATGAAATATAAGAAATGGGCAAATCCATAGAAGCAGAAAATAGATCAGCGATTGCCAGTGGCTACGAGGACGGAGCTCTGGTAGCATAGTGCCTAAGGCACTTGACTGCTAACCAGGAGGCTGGCGGTTCAAACCCACCAGCCACTCCTCGGAAGGAAGGTTGGGCAATCCTACTTCCATAGTGATAACTGCCTCGGAAACCCAAGGAGGGGTTGCTATGAGTCAGGGCCGACTCAACGGCAAACAACAACAACAAAGAGGAGGGACAGATGGGGAGTAAATGGTAACAAGCTTCTTTTGGGGTGATGATATGTCCTGAAACTAGACAGTGGTGCTGGCTACACTACTCTGTGAATACTTCACAAACTAAAGAACTGTACACTTCTGAAGGGTGAAGGGTATGCTATGTGAATGATTTCTCAATAAAGCGGTTATGTTTTGAGAGAGAACATATAGGCCCACAAAGAAGGCAAGCCACTTCTAGCTAGAAGTTAGAGGGCTTCTGGAGAGACGTCTTGCAAGTTTTCCAACTTTGACAGGGTCCAGTCTTACCACTCTTCTGTTTGAGTTTTCCTTCGCTGACAGGTTTCTGCCTTACCCAGGCTCCAGCTTTTGCAGGTTTGACTGCATATCCAAGTGCATGTCTCAAAGCCTGACTGTGTCCTCTCCAGACGACCTTCTGGTCTTTGCCCACCCCAGCTGCTCCCCTGAGTAAGGAAATCATGCCGACCAGGAAGACTGGCCACCCAGCTGCGGAGTGTCCACTCAGCTCATCAGAAATCCAGCCATGGGCAGGGTGCCCTCTAGGCGCGGGCCCTCTGTGAGTGTATTTAAGCGGAATCTGCCACCTTCCACACCAGAGGCAGCAGAAATAAGCTTTCTGATCTTCAGGGCTGGGGACAAACCCTGGACAGCCCTGAATATATAAAAGGTGTCTTGGAAACTAGCCAGTTAACCTTCCCTGCAGCTAGCTGACCTCTTGCTGCTGTGGTCCAGCTCCTGCAGCTTCAACCTACATGTCCAATGCTTCAATCCACGTTCACATAATATAATAGGAAACCGATCCCAACTGCATCACATTCTCCTTATCAGTGCTCGGTGTGGGCAGCTTCTAGGATGGTCCCCAATGATGCCTGTCTTCTGGCACTCATGCCCTTGGGGGATTCCCCACCTCTGACTCAACTCTCATGAGCAGAAAGAGCAGGACTCCTAAGATGAAGTTACAAAGGGCCGTGGCTTCTGTCATAGGTGCTCTCACTTGCCACTCACTCTTATGAAGCCAGCGGCCATGCTGTGAGCTGGCCCATGGAGAGAGACCCACATGACAACAGCCAACAGCCAGTGAGGACCTGAGGTCTGCCAACAGCCAAGTGAGTGGAGGTGGATATGCCCCCGGTTCAGCCTCAGCCAACACTCTGGCTGCAGCCTTGTGGTAGATCCTGAACTAGGGGCACTGGCTAAGCCGTGCCTGGATTCTCATCAAACATAAACTTTGAGATGATAAATGGTTGCTGTTTTAAGGTGCTAAATTTTGGGATAACGTGTTTTGCAGCAATAAATAACTAATGCTGTCGCTGTTCTCTGCCACTGGGTCGGACCGCTGCTCATGGTTCTCACTGGCTGATTGTTCTAAGCTGACCAGCAGCCCTTTCTGCCTCATCCATCTTAGTCTGGGAGCCTCATGGTTCTCACTGGCTG